ATTTTATTCATCGATTTCTTTAATCAGACTGCACTGATATCAAGTTTTGCATGGCTAAATGTATTTTTCGACTTACCACAGCTACTGGGAGGATAATCATGAAAGCAAGACCATACGCTGCAAGTACCTAGTGATGATAAACGATAGTTTACCATTGATATGTAATATACATGTATAAAATGAGTGGGAGACCTTTATGGGCATATAAAACTGCGAACAGTTTGAGAGCCCATAAAGGTTGGACGCAAATATTTTATATTGCTTATCAAATTCCAACATAAGGTAAAGCATATTTCACAAAAAAAAAACATGATTTATTCAGGGGTGGATCTAGACTAGTGCCACTAGTTCCATGGAACTAGTCAAAGTATTTTAAAAGTAAAAGAATTCAATGTTTTCTAAATATATTATCGTCAAAATGTGTTTTATAAACGTATTTTTATAGATTTTTTTTAACAATAATTGCCACTGCCACAGGGATCCTGTGCAGCATATTCATATGATACAAAATTTGTGCGTTGGGTAGAGTCCCACGGGTATATTGCTTTCAAATGATATGTTGTCACGCAGTTGCCCCGATATTAGCATATGGCACTGCTCAAACGTGCATCCTATTGGTCGGCACTAGTCAGCTTTGTTTTCTCATGTTTTCTGGCACTAGTCAAAGTCGATTTTCATTGGCTACTTGTATGGCTGGCACTAGTCGGCACTGGTAGGAAAGATCAAGCTAGCGTGACACCAGAATGTATTTCACAAGACACTCAAGAATAAACCTATACAGTCGATACAGTCAGAATTATAAAACATGGCTTGAAATATAATTGTGGAGATCCAGCTTGCCGAAAGGTTGGACTTCTTATTTGATTTAGGTGTTTTGTTTAACGGACGATCAAATCACAAACGTGTGGAAACCGGCCGACAGCGCGACAGAGTTAATACAAACTCTGTCGGCCGATAATGCGTTTGTATTCCCTGAGTCAAAAGAAGTTAGAAGAACTAGAMGATCCAATCCTGTATTGATAAAGTCCGGCTAAAGAATTTTTCGTGGTTGGCTTATTCAAAATATCTCGATGGAAAACCGTCTTTCAATGCCTCGAAGGTCATTCAAACGGTATAAAATGTCAAACACACAAATACGAAGTATGAGACAAGAAGTAGTGTCTTTCGATCGGCAGCTAGTACGTTGCTATTAAAGCAACAAATAGCCAATAATAGAGATATAATCGCGTCAGTATTCAAGACTATAATTTTTTGTGGGCGCAATTATATTCCTCTACACGGCCGAAGAGTCGATAATCCGTAGTGTAATATAGTTAATTTAGAGTTTCAAAATTTACATGTTTGTAATTACTAAAAAATCGTAATTTTGCGATTATAGTATATGGGGTATGGTTGGTTTGAAGGATGGCACTAGTCAACAAAAATCCTAGATCCACCCCTGTTATTGCAAGGGAAAATCAAAGTTAAAGTCGTATGCAAATCAGGACAAATCTCTTGCTCGTATAAAGAAGCGGTCACGGCAATGATTTTCCATTGTGTTTACCTTATGAATTATTAATGAATAATATCAGATCAGTAATAACCTAATTCATTCAACAGTTATGTAACATGTTATTTGACTTTGTAAATTAAATACTGTACTTTGTTAAAAATATATAACATATTTTAATACTTACCCAAACTGAATTCTCCTTGCTGACCAACCAAGACGGTAGAGCAATGCCAAAACTTGTTGCTTAAAACAGTAACACATGTATGTCAATACGAATCAGGTATATAGTAATAATAATAATAATAATAATAATAATGCTTGTTTAATTCAACTGATTGCAGCTTTACAACTGAATTGCCGGAGGGGCCAGCTAATTAGAATATAAATATTAATCAATCAGTAATCTTCGAAAAGTTTCCTGCATATTTCGCAGACACAAATTTGGAAAATCGGTCAGTGCGACCTGGTATCACATGAAGAGCGCTCCCTGATCTTAATGAGTATGGCATATCTGATGATACCACCCTACTAGACAGCAAGGGATATAACATAATCCCATGCCTGATGTAAGAAGCATGGGAAGTAATATGGGAACAGCATGTACATGTACATCACTGCAATGCTGACTGGTCTATAAGCCAGGGTTTGAATCCAAATGCACAGCTTAGCATTTTCAGCAAGAAACTGGCTTAAAACAAAGTCTTATGAGAGCAGTCTCTCCTGTTGGTGTTCACAACAGATTAGATTCTGTACAGTAATTTTCTCCTTTGCTCCAAGGGTTTTTCTCAGTTTCTCTCATTTCTGTTGCCTTCATTCTCTCAATATTCCCCTCAGTAAAAAAACGTGGTACTAAACTAGACAAATTTGACGTAAGTAATACATTCATACCTCCAGGACCATCTGGATTACCATATTCTTCCCAATTCTTTCTAGATTCTTCATTGGTCAAACTAAAAAAAGATACCAATCATTTTTCAGTACCAGATGAAAACAGTGGCCGCATACAAAGTTTCTTTTTAAGATGACACCTGACGAGTGTTATACATTTTTATATACTCTATTACAGCAGAAACCGTTGCATCGCGACTTCAATGTTCAAAGGAAATAGTTGGGATTTAGGTTTTTCTACGACTTGGGGGCGGAGCTTGATACTAATTCAGCCAATGATTGAACGAGTATTTGAAAAGCTCCGCCCCTCAGATTGAAAGAAAGAACAAAATCCAGACAAACTTCAAAACAAAGAGGTCGAGTTGCAACAATTTCCGCTGTAAAATACCTCTTTTGTTTGCCATCAAAACAGCTTCACCTAGAGGACAAAACAAAGGATTTTCCCTCTCTTGGGAACTAAAATTCATTGTTTTGTCCTTCAGTTGGAGCTGCATTCCCATGAATTGCAAGGGGTCTATATTCTAGGTACATGTGCGTTTTTATTTCAATTCAGATTTTAATGAGTCCACTTCTATTGCAGTGAAAGTGACTTGATAGATTGGTCTTACGCTTCATAGGCTTTAGCAATCCTCATAAACTTCTTGGGATCACCAGTTTCTTTATCTGGATGGTATTTCATACTAAGTCGACGGTACTGCCGACGAATTTCTGCCACTGATGCACCCTGGGATATGATGAAATAACATAAATCACTGATTGAAGTTTAATCCTTTTAAAATAATATCAAGATCAATAATAATGATTGAATAGATAATTGATTCATTGTAGTTACATATGCTCTGATTGGTCAAATAGCATGCTCTATTTCACTATATAATGTGAACCACGGGCGGCCCATCCTTTACATAACATAGAGTGATCCTCCTTCAAAATAGGAATAGGACACACTCTTCAACCATTCAGTGGMTGTTAGTATGAAGGCTAGATTAAGTTATTTAGTCCATAGATTTTATCCTCTGGATAAAGATTTATCCAGTTATCTACTCCAGTTATCGAATCCATAGATTTTATCCACTAATTTAATAAGGATTTATCAGGTGGATAGCATTATTTACTATTCATACCACTTGCTCCACCGCCCGAGTCTTACCCTGTCAATCTCCAACACATGATATGGATCATATTCAACATATTCCTTCTCAAACTGAGAGATCCTGTAGCCACCATATACAAACAAAGCCCATAATATAACCAAGGCAAAAAGACTGAAAATGATAGAAATATCATCTAAACATTAGCAAAAAAAAGCAAAAAGTAGATATGAATAGTACATTATATTTATAAATAGTTAGTGCATGTCATATGGATGGGGGAAAAGGATGTACTAAATGTAAGATAAGCTACAATCTAAGTACTGAGTTTAAGGTTCAATGAGATTTTCACCCTTTTTTTAGCTATTAACAATGAATTTATCGAGAATTTAAAGCTTATCATCTATATTAGCCAAAGTACAATACAATGAGACACTAATTCAGAAAAAAAAATTAATTTACACATAAAAATGTCAATAAATTCGCTCTTTTCATTAGCAATTCACATTCTTTTTAGATAAAACAGAATTTATAATCTTGTTGGATTAGATTTCCAAAGCTTCGATCGATTTTTAATGTACACAAATTAGTAAGCGGGTATTTTGAAAGAAAAAATAATATCAACAATATATCAAAGTGAATTATAACTATGTTTATTTTGAGAGTCTATTGCTGAATATCATCACGGAGAAAGACAAGCGGATTTTAAGCAATCTTACCTTATATAGCGTATGGTCTTTGACTTTGGTTTCGACTTTTTCAGTTTGTGTTGTTTTTCCAAGCAAGGAGGGCAACGACAAGTCTTTTCGTTCTTCTTCTTATCCTCTGATACGGTAGATAAACATAGTAGATTAGAATTAGAAAAATCACCGCTTAAAACCACAGAAAATCAGATAAAATGTCTCGAGAAATGCTTCCAAACCAAAGACCAAATGACACGTCTTCACTACAAAATTATAATTCCGCTCTCAACTTTCGGTGTAAAACTTAAGAAAGGTCAATCTAAATCAATCAAAAATTCGTACCTGTAATCTTTGTATTATTCCATACATAATAACTTAATGGGACGAGGATCAGACCGTAGAAAGAGATGACAAAGTAATAAAACGTGGTGCCCTTCTCGTCGTATTCAAACTGAGCACCCGCCATCTTGGCTTCTTGAACAGTCGTACTACAGTCGGAACATTTTCGGGAAATAATCGGGTAAATACACAGGCAGCCCAAATTCAACAATTCAATACTAGAGTATTACAATTATGACGATTTGATTTTTGAATGACGGATTTAGTTACTGCATTATCACTCTTATTTTCTTCTTCTTTGTTGGCACCCCCGTAACTCCCTCCCCCCTGATTTCGGACATAAACAGGAAAATACCCATCACTCATCCCAATGAGATCGATGTTTAATAGCATTGTTTGCATTACCACATAACTAACCCACACAAAATTCATGATTAACGATAGACAGCCGTCAATCAAAATTTTCAAACAAACCAGTTTCCATCAAATTACTTTAATTAGTTGATTGATAGTCCATTGATATAAATTGAAGTTGGTTGCAGTGTTAATCTGAAGTGGTAGCATAGCAATGTAAACAAACAAAAGTAATTTACTATATAGCTTTTCTCAACCTCCCATTCACTTCATTTAATGATATGTCACAGTATTTTAAAATACCAAACATATCCATAGCCTACCCAACTTTTGCTTGAGAGAAAGAAAAAAATGAATGCGCACGCTTATATTATCTTATTGCATTGGCGCGCGATGCGGGTTTCCTGTGGTATTTCGTCACAGACTAGTTTGTATCCCGCGAGGCGCGGGATCGTGACGTAAAGTAACCCGAAGCGCNNAATATAAATATTAATCAATCAGTAATCTTCGAAAAGTTTCCTGCATATTTCGCAGACACAAATTTGGAAAATCGGTCAGTGCGACCTGGTATCACATGAAGAGCGCTCCCTGATCTTAATGAGTATGGCATATCTGATGATACCACCCTACTAGACAGCAAGGGATATAACATAATCCCATGCCTGATGTAAGAAGCATGGGAAGTAATATGGGAACAGCATGTACATGTACATCACTGCAATGCTGACTGGTCTATAAGCCAGGGTTTGAATCCAAATGCACAGCTTAGCATTTTCAGCAAGAAACTGGCTTAAAACAAAGTCTTATGAGAGCAGTCTCTCCTGTTGGTGTTCACAACAGATTAGATTCTGTACAGTAATTTTCTCCTTTGCTCCAAGGGTTTTTCTCAGTTTCTCTCATTTCTGTTGCCTTCATTCTCTCAATATTCCCCTCAGTAAAAAAACGTGGTACTAAACTAGACAAATTTGACGTAAGTAATACATTCATACCTCCAGGACCATCTGGATTACCATATTCTTCCCAATTCTTTCTAGATTCTTCATTGGTCAAACTAAAAAAAGATACCAATCATTTTTCAGTACCAGATGAAAACAGTGGCCGCATACAAAGTTTCTTTTTAAGATGACACCTGACGAGTGTTATACATTTTTATATACTCTATTACAGCAGAAACCGTTGCATCGCGACTTCAATGTTCAAAGGAAATAGTTGGAATTTAGGTTTTTCTACGACTTGGGGGCGGAGCTTGATACTAATCAGCCAATGATTGAACGAGTATTCGAAAACTCTGCCCCTCAGATTGAAAGAAAGAACAAAATCCAGACAAACTTCAAAACAAAGAGGTCGCGTTGGAACAATTTTCGCTGTAAAATACCTCTCTTTTGTTTGCCATCAAAACAGCTTCACCTTGAGGACAAAACAAAGGATTTTCGCTCTCTTGGGAACTAAAATTCATTGTTTTGTCCTTCAGTTGGAGCTGCATTCCCATGAATTGCAAGGGGTCTATATTCTAGGTACATGTGCGTTTTTATTTCAATTCAGATTTTAATGAGTCCACTTCTATTGCAGTGAAAGTGACTTGATAGATTGGTCTTACGCTTCATAGGCTTTAGCAATCCTCATAAACTTCTTGGGATCACCAGTTTCTTTATCTGGATGGTATTTCATACTAAGTCGACGGTACTGCCGACGAATTTCTGCCACTGATGCACCCTGGGATATGATGAAATAACATAAATCACTGATTGAAGTGCAATCCTTTTAAAATAATATCAAGATCAATAATAATGATTGAATAGATAATTGATTCATTGTAGTTACATATGCTCTGATTGGTCAAATAGCATGCTCTATTTCACTATATAATGTGAACCACGGGCGGCCCATCCTTTACATAACAGAGAGTGATCCTCCTTCAAAATAGGAATAGGACACACTCTTCAACCATTCAGTGGMTGTTAGTATGAAGGCTAGATTAAGTTATTTAGTCCATATATTTTATTATCTTGATAGAGATTTATCCAGTTATCTACTCCAGTTATCGAATCCATAGATTTTATCCACTAATTTAATAAGGATTTATCAGGTGGATAGCATTATTTACTATTCATACCACTGGCTCCACAGCCTGAGTCTTACCCTGTCAATCTCCAACACATGATATGGATCATATTCAACATATTCCTTCTCAAACTGAGAGATCCTGTAGCCACCATATACAAACAAAGCCCACAATATAACCAAGGCAAAGAGACTGAAAATGATAGAAATATCATCTAAACATTAGCAAAAAACAAAAAGCAAAAAGTAGATATGACTAGTACATTATACATGTATTTATAAATAGTTAGTGCGTGTCATGTGGATTTAAGGGGGAAAAGGATGTGCTAAATGTAAGATAAGCTACAATCTAAGTACTGAGTTTAAGGTTCAATGAGATTTTCACCCTTTTTTTAGCTATTAACAATGAATTTATCGAGAATTTAAAGCTTATCATCTATATTAGCCAAAKTACAATACAATGAGACACTAATTCAGAAAAAAAAACTAATTTACACATAAAAATGACAATAAATTCGCTCTTTTCATTAGCAATTCACATTCTTTTTAGATAAAACAGAATTTATAATGTTGGATTAAATTTCCAAAGCTTCGATCGATTTTTAATGTACACAAATTAGTAAGCGGGTATTTTGAAAGAAAAAATAATATCAACAATATATCAAAGTGAATTATAACTATGTTTATTTTGAGAGTCTACTGCTGAATGTCATCACGGAGAAAGACAAGCGGATTTTAAGCAATCTTACCTTATATAGCGTATGGTCTTTGACTTTGGTTTCGACTTTTTCAGTTTGTGTTGTTTTTCCAAGCAAGGAGGGCAACGACAAGTCTTTTCGTTCTTCTTCTTATCCTCTGATACGGTAGATAAACATAGTAGATTAGAATTAGAAAAATCACCGCTTAAAACCACAGAAAATCAGATAAAATGTCTCGAGAAATGCTTCCAAACCAAAGACCAAATGACACGTCTTCATTACAAAATTATAATTCCGCTCTCAACTTTCGGTGTAAAACTTAAGAAAGGTCAATCTAAATCACTCAGAAATTCGTACCTGTAATCTTTGTATTATTCCATACATAATAACTTAACGGGACGAGGATCAGACCGTAGAATGAGATGAGAAAGTAATAAAACGTGGTGCCCTTCTCGTCGTATTCAAACTGAGCACCCGCCATCTTGGCTTCTTGAACAATCGTACAGCAGTCGGAACGTTTTCGGGAAATATTCGGGTAAATACACAGGCAGCCCCAATTCAACAATTTCATATTTGCATGTATTTAGTCTGAAATGTCTGAAATGCTTATTTTGAGTATTCTGACGATTTGATTTTTGAATGACGGGTTTAGTGACTGCAGCCACTCTTATTTTGTGCTTTTTTGTTGGCACCCCCCTAAGTCCCCCCCCCCTGATTTCGGACATACAGAGGAAAATACCCATCAAGCATCTCAATATGATTGATATTGCCATTGTTTGGAGACTAACCCACACAAAATTCACAACATATAATTAATGATAGACAGCTATCAATCAAAATTTTCACACAAACCAGTTGCCATCAAAGTACTTTGGTTGATTGATAGTCTATTGATAATTGCAGTTGTGTGCAGTTTTATCTAAACTGGTCGCATATCACTTGATATCAAACAGTAATATAGCTTTTCTCAACCTCTGTTCATTCATCCCATTCATTCAGCTTTCATTTAATCATATCTACTTGCCAGGTTTGAAAAATTATTAGTTAAAAATCCATATAATCATTGTTAAAAGTGCATTTGTTCTATGGCATTGTAATACTACCAAGATTACACAGAAGCCTTTGACATTACTTTATTTTGCGATTCCGTAATATATGGGAAATACACAAGGGTAACTGAATCGCCCCAGTCCTTCTCCCCATGCCAAAGGCAACTTCTTTCCATGAAGCTTTTTGAGACACTAGAAAAACGTGCCCAGAAACGACTGGGGACAAGTCTGCCATTGTAAAAAATAATTGTACACAATGTCAGTCAGCAATCTAATTATTCAACTCTTGATTGATTTTTATTTTATCTTTATCACTATCTGATAATTTCATTGCAGCAATTTCGTTGCAGCAATCCATTCAGCTTATTTGAGCATTTTTAAGTAGAGATGTAATCTTGCCAACACTTGTCGTCAGTGGACTTCCTTTGTATTCTGCCTGTCCTTCACTTGAAACTACCAAATCGGGCTGCAAAGAAAAAATAAACAAAATTAAAGATGATAATGACAAGAAATAATAAATTTGAATACACATAGAATATGCAAGCTCTAAGTGGCTACCAGTGTTTCCCTTGAGCTTTCTTTGTACACTCGAAAATTGTGCAGCTAGCAAGAGTATATACGAAACACTTTTAATACTCTATAAAACTAAAATTTTTCTTTTCAGTGTGCTTTATTGTGTTGATCATAATTTTGAAAATCCGGCAAACAAGGAAAATATAAACAAGTCYGTGCTGTGACTGCAGTGCACTCTGCTGCTCAGAAAATGTTTATACAGTACCAGGAGCGCATTAGAGCGGATTTCGTATGAGTGGGACACTGTTACCGCATGGTTACCGCACAGTTACCGAACCTGGCCTGCACAATTTTGGTGAACCAATGGGGCACTAGAATTTGGTTACAGTACGATTACGGTCACAGTACAGTACCGTCCGTTTCCCACTCATACGAAATTCGCTCTAGTAATGGGCTCCTGACAGTACGCATTCTCTAGATAACACTCAGGTACAATAGAAGGGAACCTACATATATCATTWTAATAGTTGAACGTCCACTAAAGGGCTCAGAGTCAGGGAGCCCTGCTTCTCATTCATCAATYAATCTAAACATATTCTTTTTATGAMATTCTAATTGAAAATACTTCCATCCAGCAAYTAAAAATACATGTACTTACTTTGAGAGTCTCAAAAATCTTTTTCTTAGGATTGAGCTGCTCGTCAGGTGCTGCAGAAGATAGAATGCAGATAAGATATATATACACAATCGATGAGGTTTATAATTGAGAATAAGGCTTGTCTTGTTAATATATAGTTCCCTGGTAGCAGTCATTACCACAATCAATCCATTGAGACTTTTCTAAAAGGTTTATAGTTCATTAACAACAAGACCTACCTCCTACATCTTTGTGATCAAAGCCTTCGACAATTACACGATCTCCAGGTTTAGATCCATCAGGTGGTGTCAGTGGTGTTACCTTTCTCTCATCTCCTTCTCTGAAGAGAAAATGCATTCAAAATTCTTGGAAAAGCACTCAAGTATATAGACCATGAACAGACCATGAATAAGAATTTTAGGACAGACTTGCTCCACCTTTTGGAAAGGGACATGTAATTATTCTAAAAACTTACCCAGTAGAGGCTGCAAGCAGCATTGCTTCTGATTTGATACCTAAAGGTAAAATAATCAAAAAAGTAGAAAAGAAAGTAAATTTTAAGTGATGTCTACGCTATATTTTACAGTGCAACTGTCTGAAACCAGGGCCACCTAGCTAGAGAATGTAAAATAATCACAATTTCAATTGAAAACAAGGCTTAAAAAGCTAACAAACGATGATCAGTGATATTACAAAGAACTAAGCTTAATGAGATGAGGTTTCCTTAGTCTGAATCCTTTGTTTTCTATCTAAATTGTGGGATTTTATATTCTCTAGTTGGCCCTGGTTTCAGTAGCCGCACTGTAAAGCGTGGATTTCACTAGCGCATAAGCATAGCATAAGAACAAGCATGAGAATCTTATGCGACAGTGAGAACGGGCTCGACATAAGCATATAAGACATTGAGCATGCGCACTAGCGTATTATTTTCATTTCCAGGCTATGCTTATGCCTATGCAGTCCCGTTCTCACTGAACATAAGCATGAGATAAGCAGAAGAAGATCAAGCCTTGCTCGTTTTTCTTGTGCTCATGCTTATGCTTATTTCGAGCCCGTTCTCACTGGCGCATATGACTCTCGTGCTTCGTGCTTATGCCTATGCTTATGCGCTAGTGAAATCCACGCTTAAAATCTTCTGGAAGCCAGAGCCTGTTTACAATATGTCAGAATGAATTTTATTTGTAGAAATACACAGTAGGGAAATAATACAGAGGAATGAAGTAAGGAAGAGGCTATTTACCTCTCATGTTCACAGGTTTTAAGTTACACAGCATCACCACCATTCTGTCTTGTAAGTCCTCAAGGGGAAGRTAAGCTGCTAAACCACTTACAACAGTTCTGGGTTCTGGTTAAAATATTAGACATAAAACACTAATTATCATCAAAATTACTTAGTAATGGATAATCATCATRCTGTCATTATCGTATACATTTTAGTGAACTTACTTTCTTCACCAATGTCTATTTCTTCTAAGTACAAGGCATCGGCATCTGGATGCTGAAAAAAAAAACAGATATTATATTGCCATCACCTCTTCTAAGATTCTTTTAATATTTAATATTAATTCTCCRGCATTAACATCTTATCGAATTCTTGTGATACACCACCTCAAATCTTATATAAAGTAAGTTTTCTTTTCTTAAATTACAAAATTTCAGGCAATTTAATTTTTTTTCCTTTTTTTTAATTTACCTTCTTGGCTGATACAACTTTACCAATGCGTAAATCTAAACGTGAAGGATCCACTGATCTGTCAGCATTAGCACTTGCRCCTCCTTTACTTTCTAATATCAAAAATAAAAAAAACTTTGTGGTCAACACATTGCATTACATATGGCCAAGTGGGTCTGACTTTTCCAACTTAATAACTTTCTTGCTTGAAATTAAGGTAATAAAGAAGCTAATTCAATGGTATAAATTACTTACTTGTTTTCTTGGGATCTGGGTAAGCTAAATTTTTGATTTTTTTGAATTCTGGCTTTTCAAATTTCTGTCGAACTGGCTCTAAGAGCTGTAAAGAAAAAGAGAATGTAACAAGGGTTATATTAACACAGTTACTGTTTATTGATATAAAAATAGGACAAATGAACATATGCCTAAGGCCGAATATATATCATTCAGGTCATATGATAACAGGATAAATGCAGACAGACAGACAGAACAATAATGTACTGTACATTAACTTGTACTTACATCATTTAAGATTTTGCTAACAGCATCTTTTAGGTCCAAGGGATGCAGCTCCTAGACAAAAATTATTTGTTTGAAAAGGTGCCTTATACACTCTCTTATATATTGGAGAATGGTTTTCAGCATTTTAGGGGAAGCAAGGGTGGCCAAGCAATGAGTGGACCCTCTTTGAATCTTGGTCGGGGTGCCATATGTGATTTGAATTTCTTTTGTCCTCTCCCTTGCTTTGAGAATTTTCCAGGTGTTTTCTGGTTTTTCCTCCCTTAATAAAAACGAACCATTTCTATCTGCTGTGCTCCATGTTCAGTTGACGTTGCTATGTAAAGGAAGCTCCTAGCCGCGATTAGCACCCAACACCTTTTAATCCCCTTTTTTAGCATATATTCTACATTTATCAACAAATGGCACAACATCCACCTTGATATGATCATGGTTTGAATTTTAGCATGTCAGTTTGTCTGTTTCTTAATTCTACATTTTATTTGTCAGCACAGGCAGCCCAACAACTTACCTTCTTTTCAAATGTGTCCTGTAGAGATTCATAATCTGTAAAGACTAAATTTCCACCGTTCTCTTCCGTACGATGGACTACAAATTCTACAACAAAAATAATATAAAAAATTAGAATGGGATGTAATCAAATTGGTTAAAATGTAAACCCAAGACATCAAACCATGTAGTGCTTGCATAAAAGATGTCAAAATGTCATTGTATTTTCATTTGACGAGCGATTTTTCGCTTGCACAGGTGACACGATTTTTGGGTATGATGAAAGCTGAACATCAAATTTGAGCTGTTTTTTTAAATCAATACAGCATTGTTTGACACATCATGCACTGGTGAATTCGAGAAAAYGGCATTGCCTGTGCAAGCAAAAAATTGCTTGTGTAGCCATGGCTTAATAGATATAAACATTGACAACCCATATCAGACATAGAAAACATAAGAGAGTACACCCCTACATTCAAGGCAGGTCTAACTGCATACAATATAYATTAGGTGTGGTTGTCGTTTGTTCTCAAAGCTTACCATTGATTCYCTTGATGGCTAAAACAGGGAAAATCACAAATTTAGCAAAGGAAAGTACACCATTTTCAGTCACATTGCCTTCTTCACAGAAAGCTTTCTTGACTTTTTTCTTGACCGCTGATGCGCTATCCAACAAGTCAATCTTGGAGTCCTGTTAAGGTATTTATTTAGTAAAGATTTGATGAACAAATAAAAATATTAAACATAGTGACGTCTGTCATCGAGTGCTTTTGGACATTTTTGAGTGTGTTTCAAATGCCAAGCGTGCCTTTATCAGAGTATAAACCACAGTCTGAGACTTATTTATTTGTTTTATTATATAGATTTTGAGCAAAACTTAAGCAAAAATCAATTTGTTGTCGTTTTCAAAAATCGCTCGCGCACAATCGTGGTTTATACTCTCATAAACCACACTTTTTTGGCCAATCAGAGAGTGCATTAGAAATCATCATATAATAATACCTCGTCAGATGCACTCATTTTGCCACCTGTAAGACCAGGAACTGTAGAACAAAAAAATAGAAGTCCAGGAAAAGGTAATGTTTTTACGMTTGATATAAACTGCTTGTAAGATTCAGTTTATTATATATAACTTAAAAATATAATCTAGTATTTACCCATAGGATTCATAAAATGGATTCTCTTGGTATATCCTAAAATTGGTAGGTACTATATGAAAAATAGAAAACAAAATATCAAATATATAAATTAAGATAATGCAAGACTCAGTTTGCTAGTAAATTATATTGAATATTTTAATAGTTAACGTACATATTACATAACTGTACCTTTTCAGCGAACATAAAGATTTTTCTTTGATCAACWCCACCAAACTGAGCATCTACTTTGAGGTATTCTTCATCTAGTGCCTTGTATCATTAATTATTAAACAGATTGAAATCAGAAACTCATTCAAATAACATCTGATAACATATTATTTATTATTAATAATTGCATCTTGCAAATTATTTCATTTAGTCAATGTACTGCTTCATCCATCCATTCYTTTGATCATTGTTTCATATTTTTATATCAATTCATAATGCACTTTGCAATAGCCGACTTGCGAATTTTGCCCAGTTTTCACACTCAAAGGAATTAAGACGAGGAGCTGTGCATAAAGCTCAGTCATTTGTGAAAAGACAATAGTTTTTCTTAATTGACTGCACGGCGCCTCGTCTTGATTCTTTTGAGTGCGAAATTTGCAAATTATTYGTATATCTACCAATCACATACCTGTAATCCAGGGTAAAGTAGTCCACTTAGTAATGGATGCTGTACTTGCTTGACAACTTCAGAACCAGCTTTCTTGCAGTCATGCTGAATTGTATGGTATTTCAATCATGACAAAATTATTAGTAACGTACTGCTAATCATGCTGAATTGTATATAGTATTTCCATCATGACAAAATTATTAGTATGTAATTAATCCTAATGCAGACTTGTACCCAGTTGCTTCTCTTTTTTGGGTGGTGTGCAATGCATCAAGGGAATGGCACAGRAGAGGATTTTTTTCTGTCTCCCTCCCATCAACCTCTTGGAGCATAGCAAAAAAGAGTAATGACCCATGGAATCAAGTCTTATTCCATTTCACAATACTAACAAGAGCAAGGATCTCTTGAAGAGATACCAGCAAAGAAGCGTAGACCCTACATTTATACATTTTTTAATGGAGTAGAAGTGAGAGAGCATGATTTTTGTTGTTAATGTTTTTCAAATGTACATAAATCTGTATACCAGGTTTTTTTACCAGTTTATATACTGTACCTCTGTTGCTAAAGTGGTCATCTTGAAAATATCAAGAATGTAGTCTCTGAAGTAAAGGTAATGAAGACATGCAGTCAATTATTTTCAAGTCATGAAGGCAAAAATGGGCAAGGAAACTTAGAAACACCAAAGGAACCCCAATAGTAGACTTGTAAAATCCCCCCTATGCTGCATTGAATAGTCAAGTAAAATAAGATAATAATTTTGCATGCCCCCCTCTAACATGGTTTTTGCTTGGTTACCTCCCCCCCCTCAAAGTCACCAGCTACCCCTTCCTCCTGATAAAAAATGAACAGTCCCTACGTTACAGTAAAAACACTCCACTACTGTTCTGTTACTGTTCTGTTAACTCACTTCTTCAGCTGATAATCAGTTCCTTTCACAAACTTCAACTTGTCCAATGGAACACTGATTGATTCCAGCATTGCCTGATTCAAAGTAGAATTAATATTTAATTAAACTGGATAATACATCATGTTACTTCATCATAAGAGGTGTATGGGTCTTCATCCTCCCTTTAAGGGTTTAAAATCAGTGGTTTGGTATTTTCTATTTAGGGTGATAATGACAAAAATTAATGGTATAAAACAGACCTAAGACGGCAGATAAGATCAACAATGCTACAAGTCATCATAAAATGATAAGATGATAGGAGCCCTCAACCCTCCTCCCCTCCCCCCTCAGGTATGAAAATCAAAATCAATATACATGATAGACTTCACAAACCTTCCCATYCAAACTTTTACACTCATTGCTTAGTATGGTCTTATGAACTGCATAACTCTGCAAAAAAATGAAGCATACCTTGACAACTTCTTCATAGTATTTGACTCTGTACTCTAAGAGTTCCCAAGGAGCCTTCAAATTATCCAAGTACGCATGAAGGTCAGCTAACAGAATTGTCACCTATAAAAATGAAAAAGAATGTCTGCTACTTTTATTTACACATATTGAAATTAAATGAACAATTTAAACAATGTTTTCATGAAAATTTCTTAATGATGATTAATTAACAACTTTCCATACACAGGTTCATTGACCATAAACAAAGCGTTGAACCAAGGCGTCAAGGAACGGTGAACATAAAAGAAAAGATCTGTGATCAGTGTTCCTTGATGCCTCGGTTCAATGCTTTGTTCTTGGTCACTGAACCAGCGTATGGAAAGTCGTTAATTATGATGATCATGACGATGATGACAATCACATTTTTGATAATGTCTTCAAAATTATGYATGAATTAWTATYATCAAGCTTCACACTAACGTACCTCACAACCTGCATGCAGAAAATCTGCAATCTTGGTCATAGGCACAAAATATGCGACATGCGGTTTACCAGTCGTTGCTGTTCCCCAGTACAAACTAATATTGCGTTCTTTGAGCAAATTCTTCAATCTTTCTTCACCAACTATTTCCTAATGAAATAAGGTCAAAATTTGTTTAAATGTTTAAATCAAATGCACAGGGATCCCAATGATTGCATCACCCATAGGTTCTCTTTGAAATTTTATTATTATTTTATATTATGATAAATCTCTGAAACAAACCAAACCTAATAGTTTTTATGTAGTGTTTTCATTCACAATCACTGATCATGGAACCAGGACCGACGTTTTATAAAGAAAGACCATGAAGAAACTGTTCCAGTTGAATAACAGTAAGATTAAAGTTTACAGCGAATGATTAACTGTTAATAAATTAATAAACTAAGACTATTAAGCTAGAATATAGACTTTGTTTCACAGATTTAATGTTACTGCATCGCCGTGAATCACTGTAACCAATTTTTAACGTTTCTTTATCACTGGATGGCTGAGAATGTATGAAACAGGTAGCTCGAAGGAAAAAATTTCCGGGAAAAAWTTTTTCTGAAAAATGATAAATCATAACAAAGATTTACCTGCAGATTTCTTGAAATTAGTTGAAACTTTTCCTCAGGAGTCATTGTYGGGCTACAAGATGCCATTTTTGTACAATAAAATCGTACAAACTGTGAATTTGTAAGCGAATCGTGGTTTTTCGAGAGTGGATCAAATGCTTCGCAGATTCTTCTTCGATTRCGCGATAAAGCTCTGGTAAATGATCTAATGGTAGCACCTGTACTTAACATACAGGGCTAAGACCAATTGACAGATAAAGTTACTTTTAAGGTGATGAAATTGGTGGTGCAAAGAYGAAATATTTGCACATGTTTCAGTGTTTTTGATAAATCACGAATTGGCCGGGAAGACTGAGGCGACCGGTAGCTTGGTAGCCTGGCCATTTGCGTATCGGGAGTTGACTTTCTTTGAACGACCACTCTCGTAAGCGACCATCTCTCGTATGCGACCAACTTTTGAATTTCCCGTTATAATGTTTTCCCATATAAACTCTCTCGTAAAAAGCGACCATCTCTTGTAAGCGACCACTGATTCCTGATTCCGAGGTGGTCGCTTACGAGAGAGTACTTGCGAGAGTTGACTGTAAGTTCTTTACATCGGCCACGGCTGTTTTCCCGCTCATAATTTCTCCGTTTGCGCGCATATCTCCATTTGGCGAATTCTCTGTTCTTTGACAGGATGACTTGTGTCGTACGATAGCAGTCCACTTTTATTATTCTGTTGACCAGTCATTCATTTATTCATGTTCTTGTGTACCCTTCTCTCTTTCATTTCACAATTCACCCCGGGGGTGTTCCAGGGGTGTTCCGGGGATGTTCCGGCTGTGTTCCATGTTTTACAGACACCCTTGCATTTCACACTTCGAAAATCATTCTGTGTTGCGTCACACCACAATATTGGACCAGCCATGCACCGCATGCGATTATCATATCTTGGCCTGAGCATGTGCAAATATTTAGCTAACCTGGGGAGGCGGAACGGATTCGAGTTCTTTTAAACCTAAACTTGGAAGCCCGTCTAAAGCCTATTGTAAGGTAAGACAGTTTTGTGTCACGTGCGACAGAAAATAATTTGATATGGAATATTGTTTTGGCGCGCTACTTCTCTGTTGACGACGGCTGACTTCCACAAAAATGTATATAAATTTAATATAATAGTTTCCAATTTTCGCGAACTAATATTTGCCTAAAATCAAAAACGATATGTATTCGTAGTGTCTTTGAATTGTCTTATCGGATTCTCTTACTTCGCTCTAGCACTCTAGGGTTCTTGAGGTCTCTTTAGAAATAGATAGTTCAGTATATCCATAAAATTTGTATATACTTTTGTCGKTTTTTGATAAGTTTGCTAGTCTTTGCAGTAAATAAATTTAAGTGTAATTAAGGCTAAATAAATTTTAGGGTAAGGCTGAGTCTTCAGCTTTACAAAGTTTTCCAGCTTATAAGATCTGTGAATTCTACGCCGGGATACTGCGACGAAGTGATGACATAAAACACTTAGCTTCGTACTTAATTTGTTATTATATTACTTAGAAATCGTGTTGATAGATACTGCACTGTGCTCTCACGAGTACAATATATTAGTAAATATTTCACATAAACAACACTATGAGCATATTTA